CGTTCTGCACATGTACCCCAGAACTTAAAGTATAATTTAAAAAAATTAAACCCAGGTACATGCAAAACACAGGCCACCAGGGATAGCTTCAGAGGACGGGGGAACAGGGACCAGCCAGTTCATAGTAGCAAGAAGACAGTTTGCAAACCTGCTTTCACTTCCTCTGGTAGAAATAGCACCCATTTTTCCTTTGGGGCACACCTTGCCTATCTGAATCTTGCTTCTTACATTTTTCCATCTTTTTAGTAAGCAGTTACCCCAGAAACTTTTCACTTTTCCTGTTGAAATTAAGCAGAATCCTCACAGGCCACCCTATCAGGCCCAGAGACGTTCACCTACTTTGTTCGTTTTCTATTGATGCTCTAACAGATTATCAAAAACTTAGTAGCTGAAAACAAATGCATGTATTACCTGATAGTTCTGAAGGTCAGAAGTCTGAAATCAGGAGGTTGCGTCCTACAGGAGATTCTAGGGAGGGATGTGCTTCCCTACCTTTCTGGTTTAGAGAGACCACCGTGTTCCTCAGTTCATAGCTTCTTCCTCCATTTTCAGAGGGTGCAGGGTAACGTCTTCAAATCTTTCACTCTGACCCTCTTTCCTGGTTTTCTTTTTGATTGTTAGAGTCAGGGTCTTGCCCTGTTGCCAGGCTAGAGCGCAGTGGTGTGATTATGGCTCACTGCAGCCTCAAACTCCCGGACTCAATGGATCCTCCCAGCACAGCCTCCCAAGTAAGCCGCTGGGACTGCAGGTGTGCTCCACCACACCTGCCTAATTTTTTTTTGCTTTTTGTAGAAATAGGGTATCCCTGTGTTGCCCAGGCTGGTTAGGAACTCCCAGCATCAAGCAGTCTTCCCGCCTTGGCCTCCTGAAGTGCTGGGATTACAGATGTGTCTGCTCCTGGCCCCTCCTGCCTCTTTCTTTTAAGAACCCTTTTGATGACCCTAAGCCCACGGGATCATCTAGGTTCTTAACTAAGTCACGGCTGCAGAGTCCCCTCTGCCATGTAAATTAACAGTCACAGATTTCAGGCATTGGATGTGGCTGTTTCGGGGGGTTTGGGCTTTATTGTGTCCACCACCCTTACTTGAGGCCCCGTGGCTCATAAACTGGCAGAGCCACCAGACTTTACATCTTGTTGTGACTGCACTGCCACAGCCACGTCCCCATGAAAATGGCCACTTATGGCCGCTTAGTAAAACACCAACTCTCATCTGCCCACACAGCTGGAGGAGTTAAAGGATCCTGCAGCGGACAGCAGCGTCATGCAGTCCTGCCGATGACTCACTGAGGAAGTGGGGCGATGCATTTAGCTCTGCCTCAGGTGCTTTCTTCAAAGAGGATTAAACCCTTTGTTCCAGAGGTGTTTGGGGATTTAGCGTTGATAGAAAATACTGTGTTATTTTGCAGGGGAAACAGCCCTAAAGAAGGAAGGTAATCATATAATTATATGGATTTAATCACTCTGGACTATAAACCGCCGCCCCCCCCCCCCCCGTCCCGTCTGCCCTATTTTTCAACAAGCCTTCGCTCGCTGCTTCCAGTAGGTGTGCCTTGGTGGCGGGCTTACCAAACCACCCTGCAAGGAAGACAAATGCCATCTCTAGCTTACAGATGAAGAAACTGAGGCACGGAGAGGGAGGCGAACATTGCTGATGACTTGCCCAGAGTCAACTGCTAATAAACATCAAAAGCAGGATTTGAACAGGAAGTTCAGAGCCACTGGCCCCTACCTGGCCCTGTGTAGTGACTTGCTTCGCAGCCGCAGGACGTTCAAACACACTCAGTGGGATCTGAATATAAAAAGGCAGAGACGGAAACATTCCAGTTCTCTCCGAAAAAGGAGAAGAGCCCTGCGGCTTTTGCAACCCCTTCTGAAATCACTTGCCTGGATTCCCATCCTCAGGGCCCAGGTGAATATCCACCCCTTCTGGGAACCCCCCACCCCCACCTCGGCCCTTCCCTCATTTAAGACATGACACACAGCAGCGTCTTGCCAATTCCTCTCAGTTCCGACTGCTCCTCTCCATCTGCTGACCTCGTATCATTGCCAAGATCCTTTCTTTGCACTCAAGTATTGTTACGTTTCCATGTGCATGAACTGTGGAGTCATCTTTGTGTTGACTTTAAGAATTCTTAGACTTTGGAGGCTGGGTGCGTGGCTCATGCCTGGAATCCCAGCACATTGGGAGGCCAAGGTGGGCAGATTACTTGAGGTCAGGAGTTTGAGACCAGCCTGGCCAACATGGCAGAACCCCATCTCTACCAAAAATGCAAACATTAGCCAGGCGTGGCGGTGCATGCTTGTCATTTCAGCTATTCAGGAGGCAGAGGCTGCAGTGAACTGAGATAGTGCCACCATACTCCAGCCTGGGCAACACAGTGAGACTCCACCTGAAAAAGAAAAAAGAATTCTTAAAGTTGAAAACTGTCTTTGAATAAGAATGTGCATATGTATTTTTTTGCTCTGTGTGAAAAACAGGTCAGAAAATAGAGGAAAGCTCTCTGAGGCTGTAAGGAAGCTGTGAGTGTAGCTGAAGTTGCCGAGGCCACGGGTGCCTGTGTGAAGGCACAGAACAGAGTCAGACCCTTGCTTCGTGCCAGGAGAGAGGAGCTCGGAGACCCCAGCCCTACTGGGTGTATTCTCTGCAGCGTTAAGCCCCTGAGTGTTGTGCCAGTGGCTCTGGGCAAATCGACATCCCAGGACAAGGGCAGATGCTATTAGAGAAGTAAGTGTGTTTCAGAGCGTGCAGGATGAACAGAATGGAGGCACCTACTTTTCCTCTATTTGTTGTGTCTGGGAGAGATGTCCAGAAGGAAGAACAAAGGTTGGGTCCATTCGGCTAATGCAGGGTGAGCTTTCCGTCCAGCGCGGGGTGAGCCTTCCATTGGACGCGGGGTGAGCTTTCCATCCAGCGCGGGGTGATCCTTAACTTCGAAATGTCCAGAGCACCTTTTGTCATTTAAGGTAACATCTTCCCAGGTTTCAAGGACTCGGATACAGATATCTCTGGAAATTGGGGGCAGCAACAGAGGGAAGGTTGGGCCCACTGAAGGTTCCTCCCTGTCTAAACCACTGATCTCTTACCTGGGACCCAGGACCTAGGACCCCCAGGTACCCATGGCCTCATCTTCAGGGGAACTTGACCCTTTTAAAAATGTAGGTTAGGGGAGCCCCTATAGGTTGAAAAATGCGCTTTTATGGAACAGATTATCTTAAGGAGATATTTCTCCTGTGGCTTCAGAGAAGGCACAGGCAGGCTGGGCAGAACAGGGTTGCTGTCTCCCTTACACCAGCAAAAAGGCCTCTAAACTAATTTCTAGAGAAGTGGAAAGCCAATTTGCAGGCTCTCATGTTTTCTGTCTAGGACGTACGGAACCTTCTTGATGCAAAAGAATGGCCTCCCCTTTTCCTGGAGAGCAGTCCCAGCACCTGGCTGCATGTGCCCGCCCTGGCTCGTGGGTCTGTCTGGCCAGCTCCGAACCCTGCATTCTACACTCTGTGAGAGAGACTGTGCATGCAACCTGCTTGTACCACTGCTAAGACACTGGGAAGACTGGCGAAGTTAGTTAGAACAGAGCATGCCCCTCAAAACCATAGTGTCCAGCTTTCCTGGGTCACAGAATCAATTGGGCGGTTCCATGTGCCAGCCCTGCCCCTCTGCTGCAAATGTCACATCCAGAATACCACTATTGCAGGCCAGGCAGGGTGGCTCATCCCTGTAATCCCAACACTTTGGGAGGCCAAGGCAGGAGGAATGCTTGGGGCCAAGAGTTAAGACCAGCCTGGGCAACAAAGTGAGACCCCATGTCTATGAAAAGTATTTCAGCTGGGCACGGTGGCTCACACCTGTAATCCCAGCATTTTAGGTGGCCAAGGCGGGTAGATCACTGGAGGCTGAGAGTTCAGGACCAGCCTGGCCAACATGGCAAAATCCTATCTCTCCTAAAAATAAGAAATTAGCCGGGCATGGTGGTTTGTGCCTGTAAGCCTAGTTGAACCAGGGACGTGGATGTTGCAGTGAGCCAAAATCACGCCACTGCACTCCAGCCTGGGCGACAGAGTAACAGAGTGAGACACTATCTCAGAAAAAAAAAAAAAAAATAGCCAGATGCCAGTATATACTAAACTGCCCACAAGACCAGCATCCAGAGAATATGTATATTCCTTGCATGGATGTTGGCGCTGGGGCCGCCTGGTAGAGACGTGATGCTCTGTCCCAACCCTCCTTCACTTGGTTCAGGGCAACCACAGGCTGTGGAGCCCGGTAATGTCCTTGCTGTAGAGGACCTGAGACACCCCCCAGGCTCTCGTGGAAATGCAGGTCTATCAATAAAAGGAGCTAAGGTTGAGCTGTGTTTATTTTAGGGTGGCTTTTAATTTGGTTTAATCAGAATCACTCATAAATTATCGATTAATTACCTTCTGCTGTTCAGTTAACTCCTCTCAGCGATGGAGCCAGCTTCACTGTGCAGTGAATGCCATCCACCGTAACTACAGGGCACGTTGTCAGCATTTCATCAGCGGTACTTATTAACATGGCATTGATGTGTGGTAGCCAGCCGCATGCCATCCATCATGGGTGAGCAGCCAGTGCAGATTTGGACACCATTGCTCTTTGTCACATCACTCAGCCCCTGGGCTTTCGGGCCAAGCCTGATGCTCACTTTTCACTAAATGGACACTTTTTCTTCCATTCTACCCAAACACTCACAAGTTTTTTAACTTCAGTCCAGAACAGCTGAGCTGGGCCTGACTGGTTCTTCCAGTGAATGTAAAATCCCAAGAGACTGGTCCATGGTTGGACAGCATGGTATACGTGTGTAAGAGAATTTTATATTCCAGACAGTGTATGACCCAGAGAACACGCAAGTGATCTTTTGGTTTTCTTTGGCTTACTGAATATTTCCGGAGATTGTTCTATTCCTGAAAGCTCTTCCAATGAAAGCGTATCTTGTGTTGGCAAAATAGATCTGATGGTTTCCTTTCTCTGTCTTTGCAGCCTCTACGGCAGACACATGCAGGCCAACCCAGAGCCACCAAAGAAGAATAATGACAAATCGAAAAAGATCAGCCGGAAACCGCTGGCGGCCAAGAACAGATAAGGAAGGGGTTGGCATCAGGTGGCCTTCCAGCACCTTCTCTCTCCAACACTTCATTCTCTCTTGCTCTGTCTCTCAAACGCAATGCGTGTGTGGCCTTTTTTGTATTTCTTTTCACTCTAATGCTTCCCACCTTACATTTTAGATTCTTCTGGTAGGTGGGAGATTGTTATAAGGTCTTTAAACCGTTCCCATTTGCTCCTTTTAAATTACCAAAAGCATAGAACAAAGCTCTTATTCAACTGCAAATTCCATAGTGGGCACAGGCTTTTCTTGAATAGACATCACAAGGTTGGTTATTATCCAAAGAATAATTAAAGTCACGTAACCATTTAAATGTCACTGTTAATACTTTTCACTCTTTCTGTTGATTCACATAACTCATTATTTTGCTTCATTAAAACTCTTCCTTCACCAAGATATGTTAATTTCACTTACAAATGATATTTTAGTAAAATCTTGCATTTGTATCACATGTTACTTATTGACCTGAAATAAAGAACAGTCTGATCATGGGGTACAACATGTTTTCATTTACTTTTCTCCCCAAGATTATCTTGTCCAATTTTATTGGTTATAGATGATAAACTCAAACTTTTCATGAAAGAAATGCAAAATTATATCACAGTTCGTTTCTTCTCACATTAATTTGTCAAGTTTTTTTTTTTTTTATTTTTTTCTTTGAAGACTTTCTAAATTAGGAAGCAGAAAAACAACTCTCTAGGAGAGTCTGCCAAAGGATTTTGGAAAGTAGCATTCCTTCGCCGAAGAAATGGTGATTTCTGCCAGGGGCTGGTAGACAAGAACTGTGAAAGGGAGAGAGAAAAAACCCTCAACTATGTTTTTTTGTCTCGGCAGAAAATCTGCTCACATCAGAGCATCCTTCTAAGCAACTTTGTTGCCAAAGAAGTTGTGTAAATGTGCACACACCACACCACACCCAGGGTGGAAACCACAGCTGCAGAGTCATTACACCACCCATTGTTTAACATCTGTGACAGACAGCTTTCCTTCGTCTCAACAGTGGTATGTCTGAAAATGAAAATAAATGCAAGCTGAGGTTTGGTGCCCACTCAAAGAGTTGCCCACTCCTCCAGAAGACCTGCACAGAAGAAAGGTGTATGAAGATGCAACGTCTTTTCAAATGGACTGGGAGAAGGAGCCCACCCTTCTCTGCTGTGTCTTTTCAGCTTCTCTCTCACTTGTGCTCCACTGGGGTGTTTAAAAAGCCAAAATCAAAACCAAATAAAAAGTTCTGAGTTAATTAGGAAACAGACTTTGCATTTCAGTCAGAGAGGCCGCAGAGCAAGGTCTCAACTTGTAGCTCTGGACAACTTCCTGATAGAACTTTTAACTGTGGGAAGAGGCTTCCCGGGTGCCATCACCTGTTTTGGGATAGAGAGTTGATGATATTGTTTTTCTAGAGCCTGTGTTTGCCTCTCCCTCAATTTTTTTTTTTTTTTTTTTTTTTTTAAAGACAGAGTCTAGCTCTGCCACCCAGGTTGGAGCACAGTGGCACCATCTTGGCCCAGTGCAACCTCCGCTTCCCAGGTTCAAGCGATTCTCCTGCCTCAGTCTCCCAAGTAGCTGGACTTACAGGCACCCACCACCACACCCAGCTAATTTTTGTATTTTTAGTCGAGATGTGGCTTCACTGTGTTGGCCAGGCTGGTCTTGAACTCCTGACCTTGTGATCCACCCGCCTGGCCTCCCATAATGCTAGGGTTGTAAGCATGAATCACCGTGCCAGGACGGCCTGAATTTTTTTAGTTGATTTTTTAACTTGTGAAATTGCAAGAGGGAGAACAATGTCTCTGCCGTTGTGGGATCAGAAAAACTTAACCTAAAATTAAACCAGCAAGAAAGCATTAGTAAAAATATAACAATATGCAGGGCTCTTAGGAGTCATTTTTTTTCAAAAGATGAAAACTCTAGATACAGGAATGAAATACCTCCAAGAAACATGAAGCAGTCATCAAAGACTCACTGGTAATGTATTTTAAAAGTACACAAATCAGAGCAAAAATAAGCCATGTGTAACAATGGGAAATGTACAAATATTACAGCAGTATGAAGCACAAGAGGATTAACATGAAATAAACATTCTCACACACTACTATTGGGAATACACATTTCTCTCCAGAAAGGACGTAGCAGTTTGACAATAGGTAGCAAAACCTTAAAACTGTACTTGGGCCTAGAATTTTAATTTCTAAAATGTATCCTAAGGAAAGTATCAGAAATACACACAAACTGCAATGTTTAGGAATTGCCATTATCCATTGTATACGCAGAAAAACGGAGAAAAGCCTGATGCCTGTCAGTGGAAGAAGGGTTCAGTGAATTATGGTGTATCTGCGTGAAGCTTTTACGATGACATTAAAAACTGTTGAGCAACAGCCTGGTGCAGTGGCTCACACCTGTTATCCTAGCACTTTGGGAGGCTGAGGTAGGCGGATTGCCTGAGCTCAGGAGATCGAGACTGGCTTGGGCAACATGGTGAAACCCTGTCTCTACTAAAATACAAAAAAATTAGCTGGGCGTGGCAGCGTGCACCTGTAATCCCAGCTACTTGGGAGACTGAGGCAGGAGAATTGCTTGAACCCGGGAGACGAAGGTTGCAGTGAGCTGAGATCGCGCCACTGCACTCCAGCCTGAGTGATAGAGCAAGACTCTGTTTCCAAGAAAAAAAAAATCGTTAAACAGTAAGGGCAAAGAGAGAGAATCATAACATGATTAAGTAGAAAAAGCAACATTTTTTAAATGAACTATGTAAGGATGGTCCCAGCTGTGTCGAAAGGAAGCTGTGTTTTTAATATGTATGCATCAAAAATTAAATAGAGATGGAACACAATTTTAAGGCAGATAAATTATCTCTGTATATGGTGAACTGAGACTTTTTAGAATTTTATACTTATTCTGTACTTAAATTTTTTATAGAGCATACTTTTGTAATCAGAAAATATTAAATACATGTATTTTTCAAAATGAAATTGACATATCATGGTATGTTATGCAATCCAGGAAATATATATATTTAAGCTCAAGGCATAATATAAAATGTCGGGGGGGGGAGGGGCGGATTTTCACTTTTTGTTACCAAAACAGATTTCACATCTCTTCCTATAGTTTTTAGTTGCTTGATATCGATCAACAGAATATCCAAAGTTTGAAAGGTGCCCCCTATCCCCCGTCCCCCACCTTTTTTTTTTGAGACTCACTGTCACCCAGGCTGGAGTGCAATAGCATGATCTCTGCCCACTGCAACCCCCGCCTCCAGAGTTCAAGCTGTCCTATCTCAGCCTCCTGAGTAGCTGGAATTACAGGCACCTGACACCACGCCCGGTTGATTTTTGTCATTTTAGTAGAGATGAGGTTTCACCATGTTGGCCAGTTTGGTCTCAAACTCCTGACGTCAGGTGATCCATTCCGCCCACCTCGGCCTCCCAAAGTGCTGGGATTACAGGCATGAGCTACTGTGCCCTGCCAGTCTATGGCTGCTTTTATGTGACCACAGCAGAGCTGACTGGCTGATACAGAGACCCTATGGCTCACAAAGCAAAAACTTTTTCTTATCTTTCCAGAGAAACTTCTGCTGATGATTCTATCAGCTGTTACATCCCCAGCACCCAGAGTGGTGCCTTGTATACAATAGGGGCTGAATAATTATTTAATTGAATAGACTACAAAGTGATACTTGTTATTTGGATGATATAAAGCTATTATTAAGGAAGAGGGAAGTGAAAAATTCCTCGACATTCCTTTAGTGTTTTCTACTTTGTCATTCAAGGCTACTTTATTAAAGCCAAATTCCTCTACGGGAAACAATCTGTGAGTATTATTATAGGTGAGAGTTTATACAACCCTGTAAAAGTTCAAACCTTTACCTGATTTTTTGGTGGTTCTTATAATTACCCAATTGTTACATACTTAACCATTTAACCTTCCTCAAACAACCATCAATTTCTTCAGTAACAGAACCAGAAAGGGCTGGCACCCCCATTTACCTGTATAAACCTAGAGGAAGCAGTTCATGTCAAAGGCAAATTCCAAACTGCCCCTGTCAATTTGAGTCAATTTCAAATGTTTAGAGGCAGCAGACTGGCAAGTAAAGTGAAAAGTCCTGTTCTGCACTGGACATTTTGTGACCTAAAATTAGCCATTAATTATTCATGTGCATATCTCTCCATTTATAGTATCATGCGATCCTACTATATATGGTGTGAGCCTATTTTTATAATTGATCTCATCAATAACAGCTTTGGGAGACTCCTGGGTTCAAACGTCATGTTTCTGATAAGACTACATAAGCATTTTGTGTATTACCTCTTACCACATGCTGCTTTTATACACAGATTTGGTGATTTGCCATTGTTAAATTTCTACCTTAATCTATTTTCTTTTATCAGTAATAGAACTCGTTGACTGAGGCCTGTTCATCTATCAAGCACTTAGCTCAATGGACATCCTCTTTTGTGGGAAATTTGACCTCAGAGAAGGAACTTCCTTGAGGGGCCCACAGCTGGCAAGGGGCAGAGGAAGGATGGAGAAGAACATGCCTGTGACTCCAGAGCTAATGTCCTTTCCGCAATCCCACATCACATTCTGCTGTCAATCAGTACTCCCCTGGCCTATCCAAAAGGCAGCAATTTTCCTTTCCATCACCTCTTACACTGGAGTTTCTGCTTTTGAGCTCCTGAAGTGTTCATTTTATTAACACGTTTAAGTCAGTGCATGATGACAGCCAGGTTAGGGAAACTACGCCATTTCTGTAAGTGACAGACCTTTGGTTTCTGCTGTCTGTTCCCATGTTTGGTCAGACAACAGCATCTCTGATGGTTCACTGATGGACTGACCAAAGCGGATGAAGCCTCGCTTCTGAGAGTAACTTTGCCCTTTCCCCATCTCTTCTACAAATTCGCTTCCAAACACTGCCCTATCAATGAAATTTTTGTACTCCAAAGGAGGTTCCCTCATGTGACCCACTCAAAGAGCAGTGCTTCCTGAAAGAGGCAGAAAGTGGCTTTGGGTTTCATTTTGAAGCAGATGTGGCCTGACATGATCAGACCCCCCTGGAGACTTTGTTCTTAGTCATCCAGACACGTAGGGCTGGGCGACGTGGCTCACATCTGTAATCCTGGCACTTTGGGAGCAATAGTGGGAGGATCACTTGAGTTCAGGAGTTTGAGACCAGCTCAGGTAACATAGTGAGACCCTGTCTTTACAAAAAATACTTTTTTAAAAATGTTTTACATTAGCCAGATGTGGTGGTACATGCCTATGGTCCCAGCTACTTGGGAATCTGACATGGGACAATCACCTGAGCCTGGAGATCAAAACTGCAGTGAGCCATGATCTTGCCACTGCACTCCAGCCTGGGTGACACAGTGAGATCCTATCGCAACAAATAGGAAAAAGAACAATCAGACTGAGACTCCATCTCATCCATCCTGGTCTCACAGCTAGTGTAGCACCTGAAACACTAGACATTCCAATATTGTTGCATGCACGTTCTGTTTC